CAGTTAACAGAGTTAGGAATCCAACAGGTCTTCATACTCTAAATCCAGGGCTCTTTTCACTCTAAGACAGAATAATAACTGACACATACACACTCAGGCAGCTACCAAAGGCTTTCAGGACACCCTATATGGTGCTTTCAAGTTTGCCACGGGCATTCTACCCAAGATCTCATTTAAGCCACACCACAGATCTGGGAGGTAGGTACTATAGGCCTCTTTATCCCCATTTTACAGATGGGACAGGTAAGTTTCAGAGGCTTATCCCCCTTCACACAGCTGTAGATCTGTACCTAGGTCTTCCTGACCCCAAATCCAGTTCTCTAATCACAGTACCACACTGCCTCTGGTTGTCTGTAAGAGCTACAGAGGTACTCTTGAGCTACTGGAGGTTCCCTCAGCTTGGCTTTCTCTAAGACTTGGTTCTTTAGTCCAGCAGTTCTCAAACTCTTTCACCTCAGGACCATTTACACTCTTAATTACGGGCGACCTCTCCAAGGAGCTTCTGCTTATCTGGGGTTTATCTATTGATATTTGCTATATTATAAACCAAAATGTCTTAATATTGTTATGAAAATAATTTTGTCCTCACACACTCACTGAGAGGGTCTCTGGTACCCCTCGTAGGGGTCCTTAGAGCAAACTGAGAGCAGCTGGCTTGTTCCTTTTCTTTCCTCCCCCAACCCTCCCCAAGAAGCACAGAACACAAATCCAGCATCCCGCCTTCTGATGTGTTCATCTGTGTTGGACAAGCTCTCCATCAGTGTCGCCTGGAGGTGGGGGGAAGAGGAGGGCCTCGAGCATGCCTGACCTCATTTCCCAGAACCCTAGTTTCAATGTCAGGGACAAGGAAATCCTAACAGCCCATTACTAACAAACACCAATGCAATGTGCTTACTTTAAACCAGGAGGTTTAAAGTCTATGCTGAAGTCTATAGACCCCTTCTCAGAATCATGTGTTTAAATGGATAAAATACATAAGATTACAAAAAAGACCTCAATTACATTTAATACAGTTATCAAAAAAAAATTTAAGTTCATGGACTCCATGTTAAAACCCTCACCTTAAGCAAATCAGACCTTATGTATCCATGCTTGTTTTTTTAATCTAAGGTTGCTAGAACTAGCTTTTGTTGTTTTGGTTTCTTTTTAACTCCTTTTATGAGATTGTCTCCAAGTCAGTTTGGAGAGAGGGGGAGCTTCTGTCTTTTTACTCTAGAGTTATGCCTTGTTTTAGGGCCCAGACAGCATTTCCCAGCACAGTCATGCATTTTATTCACAAGACTTCAAGGTTTCCAAAAATTCAATCCACTCTCACATGACAAAATGTTAAGCATTCTCAATGGAAGCAACACAAAGATGCCATGGTTCACTGGCATTCACACTTATCTTCCTAATGACATTTGGACACATTTGTGTTTTTTTGTATAGAATAGCAGTCACATTACTTTATAGTGACACCTAGGATCTTTAGTCTCAATTAACAAAGTAGCAAGGTCTAGCAGAAGGAATTCTGGGCTAGGAGCCAGAAGAGACATGAGTTGTCCCTGTTATGCCACAAGCTAGCTATATGACCTTGGTCAAGTCATTTCCTCTGGGACCTCCACTTCTCATCCATAAAATAAGAGTGGGACCAGATGATGGAAAAGGTTCCTTCCAGCTCATGGATTATACCATGCTGGGATTCTCTGAAATCCTTGAAGAGCCAGTATGATCCAGATTCAGAGACTTTAGTTTTCAGAGTCTGCCAGTGACAGCACTCAGTCAGGTTTTATTAGTCAGTTCAATTCCCCTCTCCCAGGATCCTAATCACGTGCTAAGACTACTAATGTCATTCATTCCTACCATCACCCTTGATCCGGAGCCATGATAGCCTCCAGTCTCTCCTATACACATCTAGGATGGAAGTATTCCTAAGGCACTGACTGCACTGATCACGTCATTCACCTAGTTAAAAGCCTATGGAGAGTTTCCCTATTGCTTAAAGAATGAAGCTCAAACTCCTCAACCTGACATTCAAGGCCTTCCATGCTCTGGTCTTAGCCTAACTTCGTGAGATTTTCTTCTCCTCTACCCCCTATTCTTCTTCATGCACCCAATAATTAAGTTACACAGCACTTTAACCTTTGCAAAAAGCTTTACATACATTATCTTATTTGAGCCTCACAACTGAGCCTACAAACACTATCCTCATTTTACGGATGGGGAAACTGGGGCTCCAAAAAGTCAAAATCACATTGTCAGTTTAACTTTGCAGGAGTCTCTCCTCTGGTCCCCCATTCTCCTTCATATATCAATAACTGATTTTATACAGCACTTTAACCTTTGCAGAATGTTTTGCATACACTATTTCATCTGAGCTTCACAACCTGGAGGTAGGTTCTACAAGGATTCTCCCCATTTTATAGACAAGGAAATTGAGGCTCTGAGAGGTCAGATGTCTTACACAGAAACACACCAATAGTTTTGAGACAAAACTGTAGAGTTAGCAGGCTCCAAGGCAGAAATCTTAATCTCTCTCTGTCTCTCTCACCTAACGACCCAGCTATAGCTGGAAGCTATACTTTTTCTTGTACTGTTCATTTCCTCTGACATCTCCACCTAAAGCCACTCCTTCCACAAAGCCTTCCAGTATCTCCATATCCCCAAACAGAAGCAGCTTTTCCTCTATTTCCAAAACACAAATGCATCCTGGCTTGTACTACAGCCTATGTGACTTTAGTTCCCCTAGTAAACCAGATGAGGTCTTACTTGTTTTTGTAGTCCTGTAGCACCTAAGCCATAGCAGGCACTGAAGCATCTCAATAGTTGAATTGGGACCAGCCAGAGTGCTATGGCTCTCCTTAGTCCCAGAGGAGGTCCTGGATCCTACAAATCTACCTGTAGAGATGTTTATTTTCTAGGAAAGGCTTAGCCAGATTGGAATAATCTTGAGAGTGCCACAAACTGGCTTGGTGACCTTAAGAAGGTCACTTTAATTAACCTTCTCTATATTCACCTAACCTCACACCCAACAAAATGTTGGAATTCAGGACTTAGCTCAACCCTGGTCTCTTCTGCCAAAAAAAGGCTGGGACTGCCTTAAAGTCCCTTGTTGAGCTCAGTAAGAGATGAAACACATTCTCCTGAAGGCCATGACCAGCTTCCACAGAGATATTGCATCCTTCCTTCAAATACTTTCCAAATAAGCCAAGAGACAGTGAGAATATAACTACTCTCTCAACCTCTGGCACCATGGGAACTGGGAAAGCCAATTGTGGACTTGGGCAAGAACGAGCTACTCCCAGCCAAGAGGCAGAAAATGTTAAAAGGCTAAATTGGTTATGTCCCACTTTATAATCGCAGGTGTCCATATTATCTGGGACTTCATTTCCCCACTTTGGGCAATATAGAGGCTGTGTATCACCTCCCTTCCCCTCCCCATTCTACTCTAAGACCTAGATACTTAAGAATGGGCTTGTTATTGGTGGAAGGTATGGAGTACTTGACTTGGGGGAGGAGGGGGAATGACTATCTTAGACTAGCTCCCAAGAAAGAGTGGGCACCGCTAACATGTCCCTCCCACATTGCAGAATCCAGACTAGTGGGGTGGGACCTCAGCCGCCATTCTGCACCAAACACACCACACGATGCTCTCTCCCTAGGGGTAGTTGGGTGGAGTAAGGGAGAGCCAATGCAGTTAGAGGAAAGTGATGGCCCTCTACATACTATATTACTTTCTACCCCTTCTTCCAGAGGGGGCCTTGTGGTTATCCCTCATGCCAAGAGGAAGGTAGTCTAAGGTGGATAATCAGCCCTTGAAGGACTCTGTGGTAAGAGTCAGAATGTCGGTGGATGATGGGGACAGGAAAAGTCTTTCTTCCCCTCCAGTGACACAGCAGGAGGTTAGGGATGATAGAAGCATGCCATCTGGGGATAAGTCTATTCTCAGACAAGTAAGTCCCGTCCTCTTCCCCAACTTTTTAGGCCCACTGCTCAGTTCTTCACTGCCCTATCTTATCCCCACTGTAACATATAGTCCATAGTCTCCCCATCCCATTAACCACTCAGCTGCTGATAGTTCCAGAAAACTGCTTCACACTCCTGCATTTTTAGCACACCACTGGTTAACAAAGTTAATATCCCCCCACCCCCACCCACCCCCTTCACTAGTCTTCCTCCAGGAGTCCCTTAAGGCTGTCACTATAATCTCCCAAAAGAGAATTAGCTTGGGGAAAGGGGCGGGGGGGGGGGAGGAAAAGGACAAAAAATAAAGAGGACATAGCCCACCAGTTCCCCAGACCCTCGGCTGGCCCAAGGAACTGCCACTGTATGGCTCTCTTAACCCCTGGCAGGGAGCGGTGTAGGAGTGCAACTGTCTCTTCCACGGCAAAAAAAAAAAAAAGCCTGGACTCCGAGGGTACCGAGAGAGGTGACAAGTACTTCTTCAAGGTCACAGGGAGAGGTCAGGGTGGAAGGGGCAGGAGGGAAGGAAGCCTTAAACAGAAGACCCGCCCAACTGCCTAATCCCTACAGCTCCTTCCAGCAAACTGAAACAGTCCCAGGCCATCCGGGAAGCACCACAGGAGACGGACAAGGGTAGGGGGGAAGGGAGTGGGGAAGGAGGAAGGAGACTCTGTGGAGGGTGAAACACGCCAGTCGAGGCGTTGCCCCACCTGCAAGAGATTGAGCCCCCTCCGCCCCGTGTTGCTCGGGGAGGACTGGCCTCGTTAAGGAGGGACCGGCACCTCACCCTTACCTCTTACTGCGGGACAGGGAGGTTTTCAGGAAAAAAGGAAGGGAGAACACGGGGGGGAACAACTGAATTCCATCTTTTCCCCAGGGGAGCTCACACCCACCCACCCATCCCGGCCCAACTCTAGGGGCCTCCAGTCCGGCCCCGAGCAGTAGAAGTGCAAACCAGCCCGCTCCCTGCCTTCCTAACACCCCTGGGCTGCCAGCGCGCTCGGGGCCCCAACGCTCCCTCTCCACTTTGCCCAAGTGTCCACAGCCTCCCCGCTCACCTCCTCTTCCAAGCTGCCGCCGGTGCCGGTGCCGGTGCTGGTGCTGTGCTCGCTGTCCGGCTTCAGGTTGCTCATGGTGCGGGAGGGGGCTGAGGAGGCGGGAGGGAGAGAGGCAAGAGGAGGGGGCGGGGAGCGGCGCCGGGGCCCCGAGTGGAGTGGGGGGAGGGGGGTGGTCAGTGGCCCGTGCGCTCCGGGGAGTGCGGGGTGGAGTGGGGGGAGGGGGAGGCGTGCGGGGCAGTGAGTGGGGCAGCCGCCGTCTTGGACTGGGGTCACATCAAGTTTGGCGGGTGCGGGCAGCTGGAGAAAAAGAAGTGCGGACGCGGAGAGGCGCTGGGGACCCGAGCGGAGCCGGAACGGCCGCCGCCTGTGCCTTTTCACAGCGACCGGCGAGTGCGCCGGCAGCGGCCGCGGCCGGGGGGCGGGGGCCGGGGCGGGCGGCGGGGGGGCGGGGGCCGAGAACCGGCCACAGCTGGGGCCGGGCCAACTCCTCCCCCCGCCCGCCCTGCATCATCGTCTCCTGGGGAACCCACAGCCAATCCACGCCTCCGGCTTCAAACTTTTCCCCGGCCCCCTTGACTACGCCGTGTTGGGTTCTGGTGGGTTTTTTTTCTTTTTCTCTCTCTCCTTTCTTTTGCTCTTCCCCTTTTCCACGAAAACTTTTAAAACTTTGATGAACTTTCTTAAAGGGGCAGCGCTGCACCGGGTCCTTTCCCACGGGAAAGTGGGGTCAGACATCCTCACCCTACTCTCCCCCTCGTGCCATCCCCCAGCATAAGGCAAAAAGACCCGGTGGTATGTGGGCACTCTCGCCAGCAGGTTCGTTCGCAGCTTCTCCCCGGGTGAGATCAGGAAAGTGTTCTCTTTCTCATCCCCGCCCCGGGGATGCTGGGGTCCCCGATCGGTTAGCTGATCTTTCATTTCCGAACCTTCCCCTCTTTGTTTCTCCCGGTTTTTATGTATTACGGACATAAATAAGTTCCAAAAAGTACAAGGCTTGGCAACTAATGATTTCAGGTGGTTCTCGGAGAGGGGCTATCAGTGGGGCGGATTGAGGGGTGACCTTCTGATGCCACTGCCCTCTGTACGGGGACTGAAGCTTCCAGGTAGTGCTGTGCCAGGGGCCTGGGAGGCAGGGGTCAGCGAATCGGGTGTCTGAACACCTGTGTTCTGTTTCCAACTCGGAAATCTGCCTTGGGTGACAGCCCGAGAACGGCTCCCCACCCCGCCCTCGAGCTTCAGCCACCTGCCCACTCTCTCCTTCAGAATTCCAGGGCAGGGTACACTTCACTCTCCCTCCTAGGGCCGTAGCTTTCTCGTAAGGAGACCTACGTAGTACCAAGACTTTCGCTATAAGGAGAATGGCGATAAGGCGCCGGCTTCTCCCCTTCTCCTTGGAGGAGGACTGGAGGACAAGAGGGGAGGTACGTGCCACGTCCCAACACTGCCCTAGGCACGCGGCTCCCCGTGAGTTACTTGGGACCCAACTCTTTGGTTCTGATTTCCAATTGCTCCTTGAAATTAAGGAGGTAAGTATGGCGCCTTTTTTTTCTTTTTAAGTAAACAGGAAAGACCCATATCTGATCATGAGTATCCTTGAAAGGGTTAAAAAACACCCCCTCTTCTCTGACATCCCTCCCCCGCCCGGCAGCCTGGTCTGCCCCGGGTGGGTGGGGGTGGGGAGGGCCCTTTCTCATTCATTAACAACCCCATTGCCTCCCAAGGGCGCGCTCTGCGCAGCAGCAGCCTGGCCTCTTGTTTTTTTCCGCCTCGGCTCCTCCCCCCCTTCAAAGTTCTCCCCGCCCCCTCCCACACACTTTTCCCCCTTCCTTGTAATGTAAACAGGGACCTGATTTGTTTGGGTTTTTTCAAACAAAAGTAGCAGCTCTACTCTGGGCCGTGGCACTCCTCTAGCTGGAGGAGGTGGTGTCTGTTCCTCCCTCCTCCCCAACCTGGCCTACACCCAACCTGAGAAGCCAGGAACCTTTTTCTCTGAAGAGTCCTGTGACTGCATTTGGGCATGACTTTCTCCTTAGACTAAGAATCAGGCTCCTAGCCGTCTCTACTGCCAACATTCTAGTCCAGGCCCCCTTCACCCCATGCCTGGATTACATCAACAACCTCCCAGCTGGTCTAAGAGGCTTCTAGGCATTGGGCAGAGCCTGTGCTTGCCCTCCCCGTGACCCTCCACCAGTCTATCATCGATCTACTTCATAGTCATCTAAAATGCTGCTTTTGCCATGTCACCCCCCCTCCTCAAGGACTTTCAATGGCTCCCTTTTTTCTACCGGCTTAAGTACATGAGTCAGCTTAGCTTTTGAGGTCTGTCATACTTTCTCTTATATCTCACTATTCCTAGTTCAGACCTAGTACAGGCTCCGCACTGTACCTTGTCTAAATCATTCCATTTTCTATCTTCCTATTTTTGCCTGATATGTCCTCTTCCACTCCTTCCACCCCCCATCTCTTGACCTCTTCAAATCCTATTCATTCTTCAAGGCTTATTTAAAATCCCATTTTCTCTATGAAACTTTCCCTGAGCACTCCAGTTTTCCTTGATCTTCTATGAACTACTATGGAATTTGTAGTTAACATAATATAATCTAGTAATTGAAGTAAGAGGAAGTGTACAGTTGGAAGGGTACTTGAATTGTCTGGTCCAGCTCCCTCATTTTACAGGTTAGAAAAACTGGCGTTCAGAGAGATGACTAGCTAAGGTGGTTGCAGATCCAGGACTAGAATCTAACTCTCCCCAGCTTCCAGTGCTGGGCCCTCTCCACTTTGACATTGTTGTTGTTCAGTCATTTCCAGTGCTGTCTGACTCTTCCTGACCCCATTTGGGGTTTTCTTGGCAATGATGCTGGGAATAGTTTGCCAGTTACTTCTCCAGCTCATTTTACAGATGAAGAAACTGAGGCAAACAGGGTTAAGTGACTTGCCCAAGGTCACATAGCTAGTAAGTGTCTGAGGTCAGATTTGAACTCAGATCTTTCTGATGCCAGTCCCTGAGCCCCCATCCCAAATACTGATTATTGTATGTCTCTCACTGTTTCATTTGTGTTTGGCTTGTCCTACCAAGTAGATCACCAGCTTTGTGGGGTCAAGAATAATGCTTTAAGTACCTATACATCCCTTACCTTCCCCGCAGTATCCACCATAGTCCTGGAAAAAGTCATCCTTGGATGACCTTATAATTTCATCAATGTAAGATTCCCTTCTTCATTAGTGTGATCATGATTTCATCAACAGATTTGAATCTGCTGTCTGAGTACGAAGAGGCATATCACCTGTACACATTAGGCCCTCTGTGATGAAATCTTTAGCTCTGGTAACATGGCCACAATCTTGCTCATCATTCAATACCTTCTGTGAAGTTTGCAAAGAGCTTTCCCCACAAGGACCCAGTGAAGTAGGTAGTACAAACGTTATTATTCCCATTTTACAGATAAGGAAACAGATTCAGAAAGGTAAGGTGACTTGCCCTGGATCGCATAATCAGTCAATCAACAAGCATTTATTAGGAAACTTACAATAAACCAGGCACTGTTCTAGGGGCTGGGAATGCAGAGACAAAAACAAAACAACCTCTGAGGAGCTTAACATTTTATTGGGGGAGACAATATCTATGTATATAGTATATAAACAAATGGAAAGTCTATACAAAGTCATTTCAGGGGACACAATTAGCCCCCAGAGGTACTGGGGAAAATCTCGTGTTGGATGTGGCACTTCATCTGAGCTTTCTGGAAAGCTTGGGATTCTAAGAGGTTGAGGAAGGAGGCATTCTACCCATTTACAGCCTGTGCAAAGCCTCAAAGAGGTCATCTTGTCTGAGGAATAGCAAGTTTAGCTGAAATTGTAGCATGCACAACGGGAAGTTGTGTGTGGAACCAGTCTGTGGAGGACTTTAAATGCCAAACCAGGGAGTTGTTATTTTACCCTAGATGCAATAGGGATCCCCTAGAGCTCTGTGACTGTGCTAAATGTGTACTTCAGGAATATCACTTGGCAGCTGCATAGATGATATTTTGATTGGTCAAGGGATAGGCTTGAGACAGGGAGACCCATTAGGAGGTTATTCTGATAGTAGAGGTGATGTAGACCTAATCTAGGGGGGTGGCCATGTGAATAGAGAGGATACAAAAGCTGTCGGTGTTATAGAAGTAAAAATGATAAGAATTGGCACATGACTGTGGGGTGAGTGAAAGTGAGCAGTTAAGGACATGTATGAAGCTACAAGACTGGGAGAACAGTGACACTCTCAACAGAAATAGGGAATTTTGGTCCAGAGTTGGGCTCCACAATACAGCAGACAAACGAGAGGAAGTACTCTGCCCAGCTCCTGATAGAAAAGGGATGTACTCAAGATGCAGAATGAGACATGCATTTTGGAATATGGCCAATGCAGACATTTATTTTGCTTGACTATGCATAGTTGTTACAGGGGTTTTCTTTTTGTCTTCTTTTTTTTTCAGTTGGGAGGAGATGAGGGAAAGAAAATAAATGCTTGTTAATTAATCATTAAAAATTTAATAAAAATAATTTTATTAATTAAAATAAAAGTTTAAAAATTAAAAAGGCCAAAAAAAGGTCAAAGAAACTCCCTAATGGTCTAGCATCCTAATCTCTGGGGGTGGAAGGGGTGGCCACCCCATCCTAATCCCAATCCAGTCAACGTGAGGAAAATTTTAGGCAAAAGAAAGGCCAGGTAGACTAAGAGGGAAACTGAGCCTCTGAGAGGGAAAGGCTGTTTTCTCAAGGTTAATAAGCAAGAGAACCAGGACTCTTGTCTCTCCCAGTCTCCCCAGGTCAGACTGCCTACAATTCCTTAAACTGAAGCTGCTGAGCCCAGAGGGAGAGAAAGGGAAAATTCTTAGGATTTGCCAATCCTTGACAAAACTGAAGTTTTATTTTGGCTTTTTTATCCTGAAAGTCACACAAGTTCCTTTCCCATAGAAGCTATTTACCTAACCCCTTAGCCAAGGTCATCCCATGCCTGGATCCTGGGAGAAAGAACTCCCTCCCCTAATCCCACAGCCTCCACCTTTTCTGAAGGAACATCCCCACCAGTGAAGGGAAAGAGGGGTCTGCAATAAAACCAGGAAACTCCTTTCTTGTTTGAAAGACTAAAGGTCTTAAACTTCCTAACTCTGCTTTATAAGTGACTGTCAATTCAGAGAGAACCAGTCTGAAATTTACCTTTTCCTCCTCTCAGAAAGAACATAAAATCACAAACTTAGACCTGAAAGGACCTTAGAAGTCATCTCTTCTACTTCAACTCTCTTTTGTTTTACAGTTGAGGAAACTGAGACCCAGACAAGTTAGATGACTCACCCATGGCCACACAGATAGTAAGAAGATCCAAAATTTGAACTTGGGTCCTCTTGACTTGAAAAGCCCACTTCTTTCTACGAGTCAGGCTACGTCTTTAACACCATCTGGAGAGTCAGAGACTGGGGTTCTAGTCCAGGTTCTATGCCATCAACTTGCTGTGTGATCGGGCACAAGTCACTTCTCTCTGGATCCCAGTTGCTTCATCTCAAAATAAGCAAGTTGGAGTAGGGATGAGTTGTAAAGGCCCTTCTAGCCCTTGATTGACGTTGTTAATGGATAGACAAGACAAAATGGCTAGACAGACAGCTGTACTGGGAAGGAAATTAGACTCAGTGTCCTCAAAGGTGCTCTTAAAGATCCTGTGATTGTGATGCCCTGACTTGATGCCAGTTAGTGTTTAGTTGAGAAGATAAATTTTTTTGTGTGTAAATGTTATGTTTTAGTCTATCTCTCCTCCCCCCAATCCCATCCCCATTAAACTATATACTCCTTGAGGAAAGGGAGCCTGTCATTTTCTATCCTTGTATCTCTAGCCACATAGCACAGTGGCTTAAAGGTAGTAGGCACTTAATAAGTGTTAAATATTT